TGTTTATTTAGTAACGTATTGTTTAGCCTCCATGTGTTTGTGTTTTTTACGTTTTTTTCCCTGTAATTCATGTCTAATCTCATAGCGTTGTGGTCAGAAAAGATGCTTGATATGATTTCAATTTTCTTAAATTTACTGAGGCTTGATTTGTGACCCAAGATGTGATCTATCCTGGAGAAGGTTCCGTGCACACTTGAGAAGAAAGTGTAATCTGCTGTTTTTGGATGGAATGTCCCATAAATATCAATTAAATCTATCTGGTCTATTGTGTCATTTAAAGCTTCTGTTTTCTTATTAACTTTCTGTTTGGATGATCTGTCCATTGGTGTAAATGAGGTGTTAAAGTCCCCCACTATTATTTTGTTACTATCGATTTCCTCTTTTATAGCTGCTAGCAGTTGCCTTATGTATTGAGGTGCTCCTATGTTGGGTGCATATATATTTATAATTGTTGTATCTTCATCTTGGATTGATCCCTTGATCATTATGTAGTGTCCTTCCTTGTCTCTTCTAACATTCTTTATTTTAAAGTCTATTTTATCTGATATGAGTATTGCTACTCCAGCTTTCTTTTGATTTCCATTTGCATGGGATATCTTTTTCCATCCCCTCACTTTCAGTCTGTATGTGTCCCTAGGTCTGAAGTGGTTCTTTTGTAGACAGCATATAGATGGGTCTTGTTTTTGTATCCATTCAGCAAGCCTGTGTCTTTTGGTTAGAGCATTTAATCCATTCACGTTTGGGGTAATTATTGATATGTATGTTCCTATGACCATTTTCTTAATTGTTTTGGGTTTGTTTTTGTAGGTCCTTTTCTTCTCTTGTGTTTCCCACTTAGAGAAGTTCCTTTAGCATTTGCTATACAGCTGGTTTGGTGGTGCTGAATTCTCTTAGCTTTTCCTTGTCTGTTAAGCTTTTGATTTCTCCATCGAATCTGAATGAGATCCTTGCTGGGTAGAGTAATCTTTATTGTAGGTTCTTCCCTTTCATCACTTTAAGTATATCATGCCACTCCCTTCTGGCTTGTAGTGTTTCTTCTGAGAAATCAGCTGTTAACCTTATAGAATTTCCCTTGTATGTTATTGTCATTTTTCCCTTGCTGCTTTCAATAAGTTTTTCTTTGTCTTTAATTTTTGCCAATTTGATTACTATGTGTCTCGGCGTGTTTATCCTTGGGTTTATGTTGTATGGGACTCTCTGCGCTTCCTGGACTTGGGTGGCTATTTCCTTTCCCATGTTAGGGAAGTTTTCGACTATAATCTCTTCAGATATTTTCTCTGGTCCTTTCTCTCTCTCTCCTCCTTCTGGGACCCCTATAACACGAGTGTTGTTGCGTTTAATGTTGTCCCAGAGGTCTCTTAGTCTGTCTTCATTTCTTTTCATTCTTTTTTCTTTATTCTCTTCTGCAGCAGTGAATTCCACCATTCTGTCTTCCAGGTCACTTATCTGTTCTTCTGCTTCAGTTATTCTGCTATTGATTCCTTCTAGTGTAGTTTTCCTTTCAGTTATTGTATTGTTCATCTCTGTTTGTTTGTTCTTTAATTCTTCTAGGTCTTTGTTAAACATTTCTTGCATCTTCTCGATCTTTGCCTCCATTCTTTTTCCGAGGTCCTGGATCATCTTCACTATCATTATTCTGAATTCTTTTTCTGAAAGGTTGCCTATCTCCACTTAATTTAGTTGTTTTTCTGGGGTTTTATCTTGTTCCTTCATCTGGTACATAGCCCTCTGTCTTTTCATCTTGTCTGTCTATCTGTGAATATGTTTTTTGTTGCATAGGCCGTAGGACTGTAGTTCTTCTTGCTTCTGCTGTCTGCCCTCTGGTGGATGAGGCTATCTAAGAGGCTTGTGCAGGTTTCCTGATGGGAGGGACTGGTGGTGGGTAGAGCGGACTGTTGCTCTGGTGGGCAAAGCTCAGCAAAACTTTAATCCGATTCACTACTGATGGGTGGGGCTGGGTTCCCTCTCTGTTGGTTGTTTGGCCTGTCACAACCCAACATTGGAGCCTACCTGGGTTCTTTGGTGGGGCTAATGGTGGACTCTGGGAGGGCTCATGCCAAGGAGTACTACCCAGAACTTCCGCTGCCAGTGTCCTTGTCCCCACAGTGAGCCACAGGCACCCCCTGCCTCTGCAGGAGACCCTCCAACACTAGCAGGTAGGTCTGGTTCAGTCTCCCCTGGGGCCACTACTCCTTCCCCTGAGTCCCGATGCACACACTACTTTGTGTGTGCCCTCCAAGAGTGGAGTCTCTGTTTCCCCCAGTCCTGTTGAAGTCCTGCATTCAAATCCCAGTAACCTTCAAAGTCTGATTCTCTAGGAATTCCTCCTCCCGTTGCCGGACCCCCAGGTTGGGAAGCCTGACGTGGGGCTCAGAACCTTCACTCCAGTGGGTGGACTTCTGTGGTATAAGTGTTCTCCAGTCTGTGAGTCACCCACCCAGCAGTTATGGGATTTGATTTTACCGTGATTGTGCCCCTCCTACCGTCTCACTGTGGCTTCTCCTTTGTCTTTGGATGTGGGGGATCCTTTTTGGTGAGTTCCAGTGTCTTCCTGTCGATGATTGTCCAGCAGCTAGTTGTGATTCTGGTGTTCTCACAAGAGGGAGTGAGAGCACGTCTTTCTACTCCGCCATCTTGGTTCCTCTCAGCCCTTTTTGTAGTTTTGATGTGCATTTCTCTGATAGTTAGCGAAGTTGAGTATCTTTTCATGTGCCTCTTGGCCATCTGTATGTCTTCTTTGGAGAAATGTCTATTTAGTTCTTCTGCCCATTTTTTGATTAGGTTTTTTTTTTATTGAGTTGTATGAGCTGTTTGTATATTTTGGAAATTAAACCCTTGTTGGTCACATCATTTGCAAATATTTTCTTGCAGTCAGTAGGTTGTCTTTTTGTTTTGTTTTGTTTATGGCCTCCTTTGCTGTACAAAATCTTATAAATTTGATTAGATCCCATTTGTTTATTTTTGCAAAAGCAAAAATTTCTATTGTCTTGGGAGACTAACCTAAGAAAACATTGGTATGATTTACACCAGAGAATGTTTTGCCTATGTTCTGTTCTAGATTTCTATGATGTCATGTCTTATATTTAAGTCTTTAAGTCATTTTGAGTTTATTTTTGTGTATGGTGTGAAGGAGTGTTCTAAGTTCACTGATCTACATGTGGCTGTCCAGCTTTCCCAACACCACTTGCTGAAGAGACTCTTTTTCTCCATTGTATATTCTTGCCTCCTTTGTTGAAGATTAATTGACCATAGGTGTGTGGGTTTATTTCTGGGCTCTTTATTCTGTTCCATTGATCCATATGCCTGTTTTTGTGCCAGTACCATGCTGTTTTGATTACTGTAGTTTGGAGTATTGTCTGAAGTCTGGGAGGGTTATGCCTCCAGCTTTGCTCTTTTTCCTCAGGATTGCTTTGGCAATTCTGGGTCTTCTGGGATTCCATATAAATTTTAGGATTATTTATTCTAGTTCTGTGAAAAATGTCATCGGTAATTTGAAAGGGATTGCAAAAGTATATTCTTCAAATGACATTCAGCCTGCCTAGTGCCAGTCAAACAGCTGCCTGTCCAGACAGCGTAAAGAGAGCATGCTGGACTGGACATCTAATAATACAGAAAAAAAACATTTCTGCTACAAATGAATGAGAGCTAAATACCCTCCAAGAACTGGCAGTTCCTGATTGGCCATTGGGTTCAGTACACATTTCCCATCGGTGTCCAAGCAAATGTTTGGCGTTAATGAGGTTGATGTGAAATTCACATCCAGTTTGTACTTCACTTCACCTTCCTTTGCACCTACAACACAAGAAGAGATCTATAGACACACTAGTTCTTAACCTGAGCTTCTTGCAGTCCAGAAAAAAGCCAGGTGCTAGATTATTTCAACCACAGTTCCTTGGGGCTTTCTGAGTCCCTGTTTCACCCAGAGTGTGGGGAGGGACATCTCCCTGTCTTGGGCGATGTCCAAGCTCAAGCCCCCCTCCCAGTTGGGCCCCTGCTGTACTTTCAGGCCCATGAGGCCCATGAGATATTTGGCTGCATCACCATCCATCACATGTTACCTAACTTCTTCTTTTACTATTTGAACCTAAGTAGTAGTTTTTCAAGTTCAAAAAACAAACAAAAAAGGCAAAAGCAATCATGTTTTTTTATGGATTTCTATTAAATTTATATATTACTTTAGTTTTATTCATTCCTTATTAAATTTATTACAAAGCATTTTCTACGGGTTTTGTCCCTACTGTGAATGGAATTAGAAGATATTCATGTAAAGACACACACCATTACAAAATCAAAATGACAAAGAAACCCAAAACTAAAAGCAAAGTTGTGCCATCATTCTTGCCAACTCCAGCCCTGTCAAACACCACGGCTTTTAACTACCTCTCTAACTTCCACAGTCCTTTCCTTACAGTTACATGATGTGCTTATACTTCTGGGTCTTGATCCATCATCTTTTGACGTCATTTCTGATCGGGGAGAATGTACACCACAGCATCTTCCTTTCACTCGTCTCTGCCTTGGAAGTAATATCACTGTTCTCAGACCCTCAACTCTTCCCCACCCCCCCAATCCTCCAGCTTAAATTCTATTTTTCATCATGCCAACCATGAACGTCTCCCGTGGCTCCCATATTTGTAACAGGAGGGCTCAGCCTCCCCTGTGTTTCTCCCTGCCAGTCCACCTCCCCTGAAACTTCAGCTTTTCATTTTACATTTCAGAGAAAATATTCTGCTGTGTTAAACACCCACCACTTTCTGCAGTTTAAATCTAAAGGTATGTAGATATTTGTCTCTCCACGAGCAAGAAGAGTTATCCTTCCCTTCATAGTGTTGCAATGTCGCTTGTGCAATGACACTTGTGCACCTCAAAGTCTCTTAGTGTCACGTTCAGAGGACTTCCCTCTTTTGATATTTCATAACCAGACAGGAAGCATGCCCTTGTTAACCCGAATTCTGTTTGGAGCACACCAGAAACCATCCTGGGGACATGGCGGGGTGCCCCAGGGGAACTCATCAGAGGGGAGATTGGGGCCAAAGGACCCCCAGGGAGGATGCAGGACCACTGCTCAGCCTGAGCAGGGCTGGGACAAGAATGAGAGTTCCTGTAAATGTCTCCTGTACAAAAAGAGCAGTCAGATTGATCAAACGAAAATATAGGACCCCAGTTAAATGTGAGTATATTTTTGGTTAAGTTCCAAAAATATATATTTTTTGTTTATCTGAAATTCAAAGTTAACCGGGTATGCAGTCTCTGTCACTAGCAGTCCTCTGATACAGTGCTTGTGTCTGTACCCTCTGACACCTTGACACAGAGCATGGCACCTTCACAGGGTTCCAGGATGATGAAGATACCTCCCTTCCAGCTCCCTAGGTGACAAATGCTCCTGTCTCCTCACTCGGGCCCCTCCGACCCTCAGCCCTGACCCTCCTTTCCCTCTCCAGACATCTCCCCAGGATCCTGGTCCTGTCTCAGTCCCTCCCCTCTGCCCTGAAGTCTCTCACATGTGCTCTCTGGTCTGACTGGGCCAACTCCAGACTCCTGGGCTGGAAACACCGGCTTTGCTTGTGGCCTTCTCCTGCCCCTCTGTGTGCATCCTAGTATAACTCACAGTCTTTAAGAAAGTGTCTCAGTGTTGGCTAGGGACTGGCATGGACCCAGGTGTGAATCTGGCCTCTACCACGTCCTACCTGTGAGACCTTGGGAAGAGGGGAAAAAGGATTTTGCCTCATAGCAAAATAGTGCTAAGTAGTAATTCCTTGCTCTGAGATTTGGTAAAGTTGGGATAAGCTTATGTATGAAAAGGGCTTGGTCAACGCGAGGAGACATGGTGAGTTTGCAACCAAAAGGTAGCTGTTAATTTAAAGCCAAGTGAGGGACTTCCCTGGTGGTCCAGTGACTAAGACTCCACGCTCCCATTGCTGGGGTCCCAGGTTCAATCCCTGGTCAGGGAACTAGATCCAGCATGCTGCAACTAAGAGCCTGTATGCCACAACTAAAAGATCCCGAGTGCCGCAACTAAGACCCAATGTAGCCTAATTAATAAATTAATTAATTACTATTAAAAATAAAATAAAGATAAGTGAAAGGGGTCCCCTGTCAGTCCATCCTCCCTCCCATGGGCGTGACTCCTTCGTCTCTGGGGACTTGCAGACTCCCTGGCACACCTGCAGCAGGAGGGGGCAGGAGACACAGAAATGAGGGCATCAGCTGAGAATACAGCCGGGACCCATCAGAAGAGGCCAGGCCCAGACATCGAGTCAGGAGTGCAGGAGGCGAGCCGCTAGGGGTCAGAGGAGGAGACCCCGGGAGGAGGAGGTGAGGCCCCATCGGCGACACTGAGGGGCTCGGGAGCAGGAACCAGCCTGGCCTGGGTCTCGGCCAGAACCGCTCTGCTGCTGAGGCCCCCAGTGCTGCCTGTCCACCACGTCTCTCTGCGCACCTGGCTGCACGCGGTGTGAGCCAGAATGTGCCGGAAGACTGCATCATCTGTGGATTGAGTGATTTATCAAATGAGTGGTTTCTCCTCTTTTTTATAGTAGCAGCATCATCTGTTGAAGACGAACTCTGTCAAATCGCCCTCAGTACCTGGCGCTTAACTGCGCAACAGCCCTCAGTCGGTCCCGATTATTCTCCATATGTTCCAGGTGAGGAGCCCAAGAACCGATCTTTTTCCCTCCGCAGCCCACACTGGCTCAAGTGAAACACCAACAGAAAGTGTGATCTGTGAGTTTTCGCATCAGCCCCTTCTCATGGTAGGACACTGCTAGCATCCATTAAGAAGATGTACAGGCTCTGAAGTTCTGGGGTTTGTCCCATCCTCTTTCTTCCCCTCTGGAATGAGATGTGACGTCTGGAGGTGGGCAGCCATCTGAGGCCCTGAGGAGACAAGTGCCGAGAGCTGAGATTGGGGAGCAGGAACAGCAGGCTGCTCCTTGACAGCATCGCTGAGCAGCTGAGCCAGGCCTGGACCATCCTACCCTCCCCACATGGTTTCTTCTGTGAAACAAGCCTGACTTATAGCCCCTCCAGGTAGCTCTGTCCCTGCCCACCCTCCTCCATCCCAGCATCCTGTCCTTAGGTCCCTTGTCCTTCCACCCTTGGTCCTTGGCCCTGCTTTGCTCCTCTCCTCTCCTTTCCTCTCCCCTCCTCTCCCGTCCCCTCCCCCTTCCGGGTCACACTGTTCTATCAGTCCTTCCCTCCGGGGTGCCAGCCCTCCCTGACTTTGTCCCTTCCTCCCTCCTTGGCCATCATCATCGTCTCTCCCTTATTTTCTATCCCTTCAAGTCTCAAACCAGATGATTCCACTCCCAGCCCCTCACAGTCACTGTGTGAGGTTGTGACACAGTTTGGGCCCCTGACATGTGAGAGAAGTCTGTGAGGAGAGACCTGGGGAGACTTCGCTGTCTGGACGCCTGTGCAGGACAACCAGCTGTCAGGGGCTGACTCAGCTCAGTTTAGGCCCGACAGAATCAGTGGCAGGAGAGAAATCTAGTGCCTGAGATGGGTCCTGCTTGGGTCCATGTACTGTGCAGGGACCAGTTCATCACCTGTGCAGGAAAGCACCTCCCTCTGGCTTCCCCTACAGGGCGGTAGAATTAGGAGTGGTGTGGGGCTGAAGTAATTCCTGGTGTTCACCCGACTGCTGATTTGAGATTTCCCTTCCAGTATTTAGACTCATTCTTTCTCTTCTCCTGTCTCATGGTCTGTCATTTCAAAACAGTATTGTTGGCAGGGTGATAGGTTGTCAATGCCTGTAGATTTTTTTTTAACATCTTTATTGGAGTATAATTACTTTACAATGGTGTGTTAGTTTCTGCTTTATAACAAAATGAAACAGTTATACATATACATATATCCTCATATCTCTTCCCTCTTGCGTCTTCCTCCCTCCCACCCTCCCTATCCCACCCTTCTAGGTGGTCACAAAGCACCGAGCTGATCTCCCTGTGCTATGCGGCTGCTTCCCAC